GCTTGACAAAGCCCTGGCTGGGATGATTTAGTTGGGGATTGATCCTGCTTTGAGCAGGGGGTTGGACTATATGACCTCCCGAGGTCCCTTCCAACCCTGATATTCTCTGATTAGGCTCACAGTGGCACACTTACCCCATGCTCAGAATCAGTTAGCCAACCACCTCAGCAAAGTTTTCTTCCAGAATCATGAATGGTCCCTGAAGAACAAGGTGTTCAGAGATTGTGGTATTCAGCAATTGACCTGTTTTGCAACAAAGGACGAAAAGAAATGCAGTCCGTTTTGGTTTGGAGCAGGGCTCAGTCTGAGCTCTTTAACCAATGCCTTCCATGTGGGCTGGGGACTGGAGATGATGTATGCTTTCCCCCTGTTCCTGCTAATTCCTCAATTTATCCTCAAACTGAAGTTGGATCATGTCACATTGATACTGTCTTAGCCAAACCGGTGTGATGAGTGTTGGTTCTTGGACCTTTTTCTGTTCAACCTTCCAGACCTTTTCACCTTCTCCCAAACCTTCTGACACAATATCACAGTCAGTCAGATTTGTCATCCAGCGCTGATCAGTCTACATCTCTTGGCAAGATCTCTTCCCAGATCTTGAACCAAGACGACTGCTGCATCCTGGCCTCCACCCAATGCTGTCAAAACCTGGTGGTCCAGGAAGCTAGTAGTACTATAGCCTCAGCCTAGACACTACCCATGGGAACCCTAATTGGAAGATCACCCAGCTCCACCAATTGATCCAACCACACTATTTCAGGCCAAAGGAGGCACAGGAAGTCTGTCTGAGCAATAAGGTGATTTCCTGTTATGGCTGCATTGGACCCTGCTTGTGCCTGTCTCTTTCACCTAACCCTGTTCCTGATTTCTGCTCTGCTCCTGGCTCCTGCCTTACCTCTCTCTTCACATCTGTTCCCACCATGCTCCTGTTCTGTGCTTGATCCTTGTGTCTCCTCCAGTTCCTGCCTCACCTCCAGTCAGTTACCAGTCCTGGCTCCAACCCCAGCCTCTGACTTGTGACCTTGACTCTGGCTTGCCCCTTGGCTCTGGTGATTGGAAGTTGACTCTGGTGCTGACCCTTGGCTTCATTCCCCACCCTGGACATCTGCTCTGCCCACTAGCCATGACTCCTGCTATGACTACTAGGCTGGACCACCTACATCCCATTCCATAACACATAGATGAGGAGGAAGAATAATGCTCAGAAGCAGTGCAGTAGAAAGCTCTCTGCTACGAGTACATATTTGGCCAAGTAGAAGTGTTTTTCAGTTTGGTCTCTAGCTCGAGGAATCTGGCCAAGGCCAGCACTCATTCATGACTCCTTGGATTATCTGTTGCATTTTAAGTCCTCAGGTCTGTCTCTAAGTTCGTTCAGGGGTCCACTTAGTGGCTATCTCAGTGTTCCACCTGCCAAGACAAAATTGACTTCCTTTGGATAACTGCCCTGTGGCTAGATTTTTTTTTTTTTTTTAAAGGTGGTGGTGGTGATCTCTTCCTTCCTGATAAACAGCACTATTGTGAGACCATAATTCAGTGCTGGCTGCCCTCACAGGACATCCATCTGAGCCCTTGACAACCTGTTCTCTGTCCATTCTTTCACAAAAGACAGGTTTTCTCATGGCAGGACCTCTGTACATACAGTTTTTCAAGAATAAGTTGGCCCTAAGGACACGTAAGAAATGTTTGTCTAAAGTGATTTCAGTTTCACCTTAACAAACTATGTACTCGCCTGTAGTTTTTCCTAAACAGCCCTTGAATACAGAGGAACAGCACCTTTAAAGATTGGATGTGAGATTGTTTGGCATTCTATTTGGAAAGGACTAAACCATTGTTCACCTTGGCTCTTTGTGTCTTATGCGGATTGGGTGAAGGGTCAGGTGGTTTCTGCGCAGACGATCTGCAGATGGATTACTTCTTACATTACGGCAGCATATGGAGTAGCTCAGTCTATTCCTCCACAAAAACTGGTAGCTCATTTGACAAGGGCCCAAGCGGCTTCAGTTGCATTCCTCAGCGTTTCTACGTTGGACATGTGCAGAGCAGCTACCTGGTCTTCAGTGCAGCTATTGCGACTGCGTCTAGATCAGATGCAAACTTTGGAAAGGCAGTCCTGTGGTCATTCTTTAGGTAGATGCTGAGCCCCACCTCCTTCAGTTACTGCTTGTAAATCACCTGAGTGGAATACACGTTTGCAACCACTCAAAGAAATAAAAACAGCTACTTACCTGTTCTGTAACTGTTGTTCTTTGAGATGTGAGTAGAGATGTGTATTCCACGACCTACCCTCCATCCCCTCTGCATCGGAGTCTTTAGCCTTGGGATTCCAGTGGGAGAGATCTGATGAGGGTGAGGTTGGTGCTGCCCTTATATAGGCATAGGAAGGTGACTGGGCCAAAGGGCATGGAATATATGTCTGCATCCACATCTCGAAGAACAACAGTTACAGTACAGGTAAGGAACCTTCTTTTGCATGTACAGCCTTAAATATACCCTTTGTGCATATGAATTCTGGTAGTCTGTGATTAATAACTCTTCCCCTGATTACAATAAAATATATAGTTAAAAAACAAATTCTACCACCTTGGCTAAGGTCCTTTGAACCTTCTGAAGGCTATTGTCACTTACACCTGTGGCGGGTTCCCTCTGGGGTGCCACCTGCAACTGAGGTACCACTGAGCCCCCCTGACCCACCAGCCTGGGCTCCCTATCACACTGTGCTGCTGTGATAAGTTGCCAAGCTCTCCAAGCTTGCTCTTTCACCAGCATACACATAGGCAGGGACATACCGAGCTGCAGTTCTTACAGGCTGCTGTGATCAGCTCTGCATGGGGAGGTTACAGCTAAGGAACTGCCCAGCTGCTCAAAAGCACACCACCCTTTGGAGTGTAAACCCAAAGTTATACTGCCTTGCACTGGCCAGAGATCTGTACAGCGTAAACTCATGAAATTCGCCCCCTCCCTCAATGTGGAGAGGAAATATGCAACAGCTTTCTGCTCCAAGTTATAACTCCCACACACTGTTTTTGCTTTATCACAAACCACATTTAGTAACTACTGAAAGATAGATTTTAAGTGATTATAAGGGATAGCAAATAGATCAAAGCAGATTACCTAGCAAATAAACAAAAACGCAGTGTACTAAAGAAGTAGCGAATTCTCACCCTAAATTATTATTTAAGCCAGCTGCAGGCTCTTAAGGGGCCAGCTGCAGGCTCTTAAGGGGCAAGCTGCACTTGCTTGAAGCTTAAAACCCCGGGTACTGTGTTCATAGGTTAGAAATCTCTCTAGCCTGGGTCCAGCACTTCCCCCCCCCAGTTCAGTACATTTTACTATACAGTTGGCTGTGCACATGTGCAGCCTTACTTAGTGGCACACTTAATGTGTACTGCAAAATGTGCTGATCCTTATGCAGTTGTCGAGCACTTTCAGTCAAATCAGAGCCAGGTTCCAAAGATAGTTCTCCATGATGGCTATTTCCATGCTGAATTGTTTTTTACCCTCCGTGGTTTGTTAGTGTTGTCCAAAACAGTCAAGAATTGTTTATAATGACGAAAAATTGCATTTTGAACTTAAAATGGAGACGGTAATTAATGGCAGTTGCCATTACACTAACATTGAATGTGTTGAAAACTCAGACTATTCAGCCTTTAATTTTTACCAGTCTGGATGTTGCTTCATTGCACACCATTGTTCACAGAATATGCTTGCACTCTCAATACTGCCCTATTCCCTAGATAGATGGGGGCGGGGGGGAAACCAGAAGCATATGTTGTGTTGGCTCCACTTAAAGGATTGACTCATACTTATCTTCCCATTTTCCATGTCTTTTTCCTTCTTCCGCTCTTTCGGGTTCAAACAGGCAAAGAAAACAGTGTTAATGTTCTTTCATAGTAGCATTTCCTGTGGATGCCTGTTTTGAGGGCAGAAATGTACAATAAATAGCTCAGTTTCACACTCTGCAGGTAACATTGTTCTATGAAGGAACACAGCACTGCTTTTCATCTATGGCTGTCAGATTTTGTTGTCTAGAAAATGTCTATTGCCTACTAAGTGGCTTGAGGTGTCCAGACAGGGCTGGCCTTAAAATGTTCAGGGAGGTGTGAACAGCAAACTTAACTGATTGATTTTTAAATAAAAGAGGATGTAGAAGAATTTCCTTTTTCTCTCCTGTTCTTGAAAAGTGGCATTTGCTTTCCTATTATCCTTTCCCCCCTGCCCCGTTTCTGTTTGCTATGTTGTTGCTTCCTTCTTGCACCCCTTTTAACTATCTCCTGTATTCCTTTCTCTCCACAGTCCACTTTTCCACACACGGTGGTTCTACACATGGTTTTTCCTTTCCCCTCCTCTCCTGACATGGGCATTCATCCACCCTTCCTGACACATTGCTGCTGTTTGACTGGTTGAGCTGGATATCTCTTCTTCCTCACACATTTTTTCCCCTCTTTCCCTCCTCAAAAAAACCGCAATGTTGCCATTCTAGGGAGAGAAGCAAAGGAGCTAATGAGGGCAGTTTACAAAGAAATATATATTTTGAGAAAAAGAAAAAGATTAAATTGTAGGTAAAATATGATGAACTCAATATGGTCCTGTTCAAGTAACATAGAAGAGTCACTTGTTTCACAGAGGATCATTTAACTCTTTCTAGTGGCGACTACCAATAAACAACCAAGGGGCTTCTACCTTTGGATATTTTAGGATTCTCTTGCAGATGCCATTTTGTCTTAATGTGTAGTCCAAAATCCAGCTTGCTTGCATTAATATGCTAATATCTATTTCTCTTCTGTTAAAGTATTCATTAGCTAGGGACCATTTGGTTTAATAGTGTCCAGTATTGCAGTCATGGGAGCTATAGAAATGTGTACATAATACAACTCCTTTATTACCTAACTTCTCACTCAATGTCCTTTTATCCATGATCGCAAACTTGAATATTTCAAAGAAAAAGTTGTCTCTGTACTTGATTCTGATGCAAATCAATACTTTTCTGCCTTTTTCTTCAGGCTCTCGTGAAGCATGTCCAGTCAAAAGGATACCCTAATGAACGTTTTGAACTTCTCACCAACTTCCCTCGAAGGAAGCTTTCTCACCTGGACTATGACATCACATTGCAGGAGGCTGGCCTGTGCCCTCAAGAGACTGTCTTTGTGCAGGAAAGGAATTAGCACCATGGCCTGAGCTCTCCCAGCCTCCCTCCCCTCCTCCTCTTTGCCTGTGATACCAACGCACTAAATATGCAGCTGGGCTCATGGGATCACCGAGCTGAAATCAGGCAGGCAGGCATTTGCCACATCTCCCTCTTCCTCCTTTCTCCTAGTCTTGTGACCAAATGAAAATGCTAAGATATGAGCTTTCCCAGTTTTGGGCTTGGAAAAATCATGCTCTAATTGTGGAGGAACATGCCTCCTACAACTACACATCCCTTTCTCAGAATAAAAGGGTAGTCTGTGCATCCAACATGCTGGGGTTAGGGATGGCCATAACAAACAGATATTTCTCACCGCTACCCCTAAAAAAAAATCTATTTTGTTAATATATTTTATTTTTATTGAGAAATACCATGTGGCTAGGCACTGAGTTGTCTCCCTACACAGAGAAATTGTAATTTGCAGTAGAGTTTTTCTTGGTTTTGGTTTTCTACACAAAAGGTCTCCATTAACCTTACAGCCATGTGAGGATCCCTTTTCATGTCCTTTGCAGAATACTGATTTGCTGGAAGGATGTGGTGTGAGCTATGTTTAACAATTCAGGCTGGGCTTGGTAGATTACACATGCATATTTTCCCCTCTTTTCCTGCTGATGAAGTGACATCTTGTTTTAAGTGAGGGTTGACCTGCCAGGGGATTTGGCAAATATTTAGCATGCCTGATACGGGAATTGGATGCTTGGTCTGGAGCTGAAACCTCCTGTTTTCATAGTTAGAACTTACCTCCAGAATCTATTCTCTTATTCCAAAATGTGGCCTCTTTGTTGTCAGGACTTTATTGGTCGTGGGATAGTGTAAGAATATCAAACTTTCTGTAAAACTTTTGCCATCGTACAACTTAAAAACTAATTTGATTCGTTGTTTCCTAGGTAATTCACTTTCTTGGGGCAATAGGGCTTTCACAAAGCAGTCTGGCTATAAGATAAGAAAAGTAGGTTCTAGTGCTGAGGTTCCTTTTATTATAAATTATATATATTTAAAAAAAAAAAACTGTCATTGATGGACATCCCACTAATTTAGAATGGTCATTTTATTGGCTCACATCATCAGGGTGACTTGAACTCTCTGGGCTATTTGAGAGCCTGTTATCCCACTTCCCAATTGGAACTGCAGTGAAATATATAGAATTGTATCTGTAACAAAAGTTTTATGAGTTGTGTAAAGTAACAGTAACTAACTTGTGTCAGTATGATTTGGGCTTTATATCTCTCAAAGCTATACAAACTGTCAGTGTAAGCCATACATACATTATGACTAAGGAATCAGTTAACCAAACATACAATGCAACGTACAGTGCAGCCAAGTAGCTTTTTGCACCATGTACTCTCCTTTGTCCCCAGATACTTTACCCTGAGTCTGAGCCCAACCGTGTTCAAGGATTTACAGAAGACTGCAGTGAGACAAAACCATTTCATTGCTAACTCATCCTTTTACAGACACTAGTACTGATGCAGGGTGTTCTTTTGTAACTGATAGTTTGTGTTAGCATATTCTGCATTTGTGGAGGAAAACAAGCTGCTTCACGTTGGACATAAAAATATAGGGTTAACTTGAGAATCAGACAAAACTGGCAGTTTGTATAGTGTGAAAGATTAGCCCCGCCCCCCAATGCCAATGGGCTTCATTTTGTTTGTCAGGAAATCTTATTTCCTGGCATCAGTGTCAAAGAAAAGAATTAATGCTGGCAATAACTATTTCCAAGCCAGAAAAGAACCCTCGTAGTGGATGGCTAGGAATATAATGTGGGATAAAACTTTTCAAGATACTTTGCCTTTAATTTCACTCCAGGCTGCATTCCTACATTAAAGGATGTTACATGGGAAATCATGGCAATGACCCAGTTTATTCCTTATGGGTCTTTGCAAGCTAACAGTCCTTTGCCCTTAAAACTGAGAGTTCTTATATATAATTATACAATTGTATAAATATTTATACAAGTATATTTATATAATGCTTTATGAATGGATGATTTGACTAAAAGCACTCACATTGCTACCACTTTTTGAGTTCTGCTCCAGGATACAAAAGCCAGTTCTGATCTCCATTCCCTGTCCAGTAGTTGAGTCACATCAGAGGTGACATGTTGAGACTCTAAAGTGCTAACTGATCATTGCCACATTGTTCTCAAAGGGGATTATTCCTCCACTATACTGACCTGAGAAAGAGAACTGCAACAATCAAAGAGAGGGAGTGCACTGGTGGTTGTGGGTGAAGGGAAAATGGTGCTTCTTAAATGGAGGATCCTCTCAACGACAAAATACACAATTCAGACTTGGCTGTGTAGGGAGAGGTGTAGCGGTAGTCTGTATCATTTAGTTCTAAATGCTTTCCTGGGCTTCCAAGGGCTAATTGAAATGATTAACTCTGACACTTGTGTGCATGAATCTGTTTGCACCTTCCCAACTGGTGAATGTCTGAAGAATCTGAGGTTTAAGAACACCAAGACTTAGTATCTAGCATTTCTCCATGGGCTATTCCTTGTCCACTAAATTGATTAAGGCTGCAAATTTCTGTGGCTCTCCCTCATGTCCCTTTATGTACATGGGAGTGAGGGCCTTAGCAGTCCCACTAACTCTTGTGCTAAATTATTTTTGTTTGGTTTGGGGGGGAGGGGATGCTGATTGTTCAAAGTAATTTTCTGATTGGGTAGTTGGTCCTTTTTGACGACATACACTCTGTTATGATTTCCCTGAATAATTCTGTACACACTTTACATTGAATGGATGGAGGGGAACTTCTCTTCCCAAACCCCATTCTTAATTAAATGTTGACTTTAGCTGCAAGGCAGCCAAAAGCCATAAAAGCGCCTTTTTATTTTCTCTCCCTGCTCAGTTGCAAGGAGCTGGACTCTCTTATACTGTCCATCTTGCATTACAAATCTGAATTTGGAGTCCTGAACCAGCTTTTAATTCAGCTTTAAGTTATGTTAAAAGCTGCCCACCCACCTCTCAAGCAGTCTGGTCCGGCAGGGAAGCAACAATTATACTTTGAAAAGAAGCCACTCATGCTTTTTAGTGGTGGAGGTATGAAAAGAAAATATGCCTCTTATCCAGTCTGGCAGTGGTGCTCAGCCCTAGATTTTTAGCATAATGTAAGCTGAATTGGGAGCCTGCAGCTTGCTCCCAGTTCGTTTTTAGGCAAATGACAATTTTAAAAAGAGTTCAGATGTTGGACAGGGACACTTGTCAACTGCCTTTTCCTTCTACTCCATCCCCTGGCCCAACTGTACTTTAACTACTGCGTGATGAATTTCTATACACTTTCATATTCCTCCAGTGATCACTAAACTGCCATTTAATCTCCCAAACTTATTTTCATGATTTTAAGCACGTTGAAAGTAGCCATTGGCCAGAAACTGATGAAGAAAGGCAGCTCAGCTCACTGAGTTGGAGATCTGAAGAGACAAGATGTCAAAACTCCAGGGAACCTTAAAGGGAGGAAAATATAACAATAAATATATCCATAACATACCACTTTCTCTTGTGCTGTGAACAATAGTAGAAAGGTATTTGGTGGATTAAACCCCATTCCCCAAAGAAACTGGCTTCTAATGTTTTTTGGTTTGGGTTTTTTTGAGGACACTCACAGTGGCATGGGTCCTCAATTTTAAGTATCAGTAGCCGAGGTGGTGATCACTTATTGTACCAGTGCACACCCATTGAGAATTTTTCCTCTTAGAAAAGCGAGGTAGCTGCCTGACTTAAATACACAGAAGGTTCAAATATATGAAATACTTCCTGCACTATGGCTATTTCCAGTTACTTCATTTAACACTATGAGTAGGTCCTGGCAATTGTGGGCTGAATAGCTGACTGGTCATGGACTAAAACATGATCTTTGTGCCAGGCCCTCGTAGCTTGTCTCTTCCCAAGAAGCGGTTAGTGCTTGTTCTGGTTGGGTCCTTTATCTTTCAGTTCTCTGCATCTCTGCCAAAGTCCCAAGTTCCCCCATATACACATCTGTCTTTTTAAGACCCCCATTGCAAACATCAACTACACAGTATGGCTAAAGCATTGTAGTTCGGACTCTTAAGAGTCAGTCATAACTGTAATTGGCCAGAGAGGCTCCTGTTAAGAGAAATCTTCTCTCCTCAGTCTGAACCTTAATGCATTGCCTCTGACAGTCCTAGTCTTTGAAGGCTAGAGGAGTGAGACTGGGAATCTAACCTGGGATCTACATAGAACAGAGCATTGACTGGCAGGAATGTAAGCTAGCCTGGTCAGAGGTTTTTTTGTATTGCCACAGAAGGTGCCGTGTAAACAAAAACTTTCTCGAATTGTTTCATGACACTGAGGCTGAGATGCACATTACTTTGGAGTGGGCTGGGGAAAGGTCTCATGTTAGTTACAAGGGAAGGTGGTGATCTAAGGGGCTAGCAAAACAAATGTTTGGAAGTGGACTTGATGTGTAGCTTCATGCAGGACCCTTAACCTAAAGGGGTTGTTTGGTCTCACTAATGAGTGCTACTTTGTTGGGTTGGTCATGAGGAGTACTAGGGAATAGAGGTGTGTTTATAGAACGGGAGTCCGTATCTTTGGCAGATATGGGAGGGAATAGCCATCTCCATCCTCTCAGATTAATAATATTTCAAATTCTTATGTTTTGAGTTGTAGTTCCTTTTTTTTTTTTTTTTAAAGGAGCAATTTGTCCCACATGTTCCATTTGTTTTGTTTTGCTCTCCAACTCTGTTAATGCCTTGAAAATTAATCATGAGTATTGCAGTTAATCATGACTAGGAGTTGACGTGTACAGTAGCTTCATAAACATCAGTTCAAGAGAACATTGATTTAAAGGATGATGATATTGGTTCATCCCTACTGAGGAGGAATTTGAGATGCATGACTCCCAGGATACTGGGAGCCTTGGCCCTCTTATAGTCGTCTCCTCCACTCCCGTGTAGAGGAGCGATCACCACTGTGCTAGGTTTCCAGACACAGCATATAGTAAAGCAAGCTGACCGAAAGCTTCAACCTTGCAACACACTCTGCCCAGAGGCAGTGAGGGCCTGAGCATAAGCCACTGGGAGTTTTTCCACTGACTTCAGCGAGCTTTGAATTAGGACCTAAAAGATTGGTATTGTACACTCACATCCTAAGCTTTTGCGTCTGGAAGCACATTGCACTCCCTGGTAAATCACCAAACGTGCTCGTACTCTTTCTTTTTGAAATTGTCTAATAGCCTTGTAATTACAGGCTTTTACAGTCTTATTTTTAAAGTGTTATTTAAATTATAGTGACACAATATAGTGTTACAAAGGGTGTCAGAGTTATCAGGAGTTGTTTAAACAGCATTTCCTTAGCTGTGCTACATCAAAGCTTTTCAAAAAGAACCAAATCTGCTAGTCTGTTAGTACAGTAGAGTGAAAAACTTTGGGGAGTGGGGGATGGAATCCATTGCTAACCAGTGTGGATAGTTGAATAGAAATTTAGGTGCCTGTAATTTGTTAGTATTAGTATTGTAAATACACTCAATTGCATATAATTCTGCCTTTTTCATCTGAGATACAGTAATGCATACAAATCTCTACTTCTGCTGTCATGGTTTATGCAGTTGCTAGAAACCATTTGATGAAATACAGCTTTGCCTCAGACACTGGTGCACAATTTTAAAAACTAGCAGATGTAACGAAACCCTCACTGTCTTTCTGTTTCAGTAGACTTATCCACATAGTTGTGCAGACTGCAGTTAAAATGGGATTTATAGACTGAAAGGAACAGCTCATCTCAATGTTCCATATTCTCCTTGTTACTTCCCCATAATATTTATGCATTTTACAGAAGTTTGAATGAGCTACATAACTGACAGCACTAAGTACTCAGTCTGCTCAGAATACAGCTTTGTTTTAAGAGTATAA